TGGCTACCCTGGACACACCTGGACACTGCAAGGTAGTGTCCCTATCTCAACTCCCTTCATTTCATCACACCTGCAAAGTCCATTTGGCCGTAGAAGGTCCGATATTCACAGGTTCTGGGGACTAGAGTGTGAGCATCTTTGGGGGACTGTCACTGGGCCTACTACAGGTTGTTTTTGTCCTCACTGAGTTGTCAAGTTCTCTATTCTGGGTACAAGCTGTGTGTGTGTGTGTGTGTGTGTGTGTGTGTGTGTGCTGTAAATATTTTCTCGGTCTCTGGCCTTGGCTTACTCAGGGGTCCTGTAACCTTGAGGAAAGCCTCTTTGTCTATATGCTCTTCTGTGGCCCGGTGCTGTGTGTATGGGAACTTCGTACATCCCACAGGAATTTGTGTCCCTGAAGCTGGTGCTGGTCTGGGGAGCTCTCTTCGAGGACCCCTGATGAAGGAAACCAGGTGCAGAATACCTTAGGTGAACAAAATCAGTGAATTTAAAAAAAAAACCTATTCAACAATTATCAGTTACCTGCCTACTATCAAAACAGCTTAGAAAAATGGCCCAGCACTTTTATCAAATTGGACTGTGTGCTGAGTTTTGTTTTTTTTTTTAATTAGAGCCATTTCACATTGAAAATAGGTCATTTTCACCGCATTTAAAAACTCTGCTACGCTCAGCTCCTGGGGAGGAGAGGGCTTGCATTCTGCTGCATCGGACCTGCCAGGTGGTGACAACCTGATTTTAGCTCCAGCTGGGCCCCCCCAGGTGACAATGGATTGGGTTTCGTCTTTTTAAGGAACTAGCCTATCTGGAACAGAAAACAGCGGCTTTAGATGCCCCCCCTGTTGTAATTGGAAATTATAAAAGTAAGACTCTTTTCAAGGTATATTAAGTTTTGAGAAAAAGCATTAAATAGTTTTGCTCAAGGTGGGTAAGATAAGCTAGGTATAAGCTGTAATCACAGGAGGGTTCAGAATTTCTTTTCCAAATCACAGGAGCCCGTTCTATTTATAGTTTTTAATTATTTTATTTATTTTTTATTAAATTTATTAGAGTGACATTGCTTAATAGGATCCTGTAGGTTTCTCCCTTTCTCATGGCTGAGTAGTGTCCATCATGTGCATGTCCCACATCCTCTCTGTCCAGTCCTCTACCATAGGGCACTCTGGTGGTCTCCATGTCTTGGCCACCGTGAATCATGCTGCAGTGAACACGAGTGCGTATATCTAGGTGAATACATGTTTTGGTTTTTCGGGTATATACCCAGGAGAGGGATGGCTGGGTCGTATGGTAGCTCTATTCCTAATTTTTTGAGGAATTGCCAGACTGCTTTCCATAGTGGTTGTACCAGTTTACATTCCCCCCAGCACGGAATGGGGCTCCCTTTTCTCCACAACCTCTCCAACACTTGTTATTACTTCTCTTGTTGGTCATGGTCATTCTAACAGGTGCGAGGTGGTCTCTCATTGCAGTTTTGATATGCATTTTCCTAATTGCGAGGTCGAACATATTCATATATTTGTTGGCCGTTTGTATTAGAATGGATATGTTCCATGGTGTTTACAATTTCGGGGGGCTTCTGGGGCAGCCCCCACAATCTAACCCATCGATATTTCTATAGGGAACGGGGTAAGGATTCGCGCTAAGTGCAATAAATATTAGTCATTAAAACAAACCTCCTGGAATTCCAGACTTTGCTGCTAAGTGAGAGCTTTCCAGTTTCCAAGAGGATTAGAGAGTTGGGGACAGGATTTTGTGTTCCTGCAGCAGGCCGGGCAGGTGGCTACTGAATGTCTACGAAGCTTGTCTGTGTCAGGACAGTGTGGTACTTTCATGAATGAATTCCAAGGATTTATGTATTTTCATTCAGCCTTAGAAGGAAACAACATAGAGGCCCCCAGGTGTAGCCTTCCTTAGGAGCAGGGATGCCTGTGACAGTTTAATAAACTTAACCTTGGATGCTTTGCCTTTCCCTGTATGGGAACCAAGTGTGCTGCTCAGGATCACAGCACCCACCTTTCCGCCTGCCTGCCAGGTGCCCGGGCTGCCAGTTCCGTCGCTCTCAGTGCACAGGTGACCTCGTCACCCGCAGCACCTGCCCAGACCTATGCTGCCGGGGTTCCCTGAAGGGGGCGGCCCGCATTTCCCTGGGATAGTCCCCTGGTGGTCGGTGTGGCGGTACCACATGCACTGTACCACGTGCAATGCCATGCGGAGCTCCCTGTGACGGTGCCCAGGTGGAGGAGCTTGAGGCGCCAGAGCAGGGAGCACACGCCTCCCGCAGCCCGGCAGCTGCTCATGCTCCGTCACTTCGCTTTAGCTTTGGGACTTTTTCCTTTCACATGTGGCCCTTCAGTTTTCCCCGTGCCCGTCATCAGCTGACACAGTTACTGTAGGACCCGAGGAGTTACTTAATGACTGTGTAGGTCCTCGCTATGCCGCTGAGGATTTGCGTGATTTTATCTTCCTGTGCAGAAGTGGCTGTCTGTGGTCTCCTGAGGATTTATAATCCCCCAGCTCTGTCTTTTAAATTAAAAGCTCGACGGCATTTTAAGCCTTAAATAAAGTGTTTAAGGCCTTTTAAAAGGATATAGCTCTGCGCTTGGAATTCATTTTTCCCCAAAGTCCATTGTCCTTTCTATCCACTGGCTTTACCGAGAGTCCTGGAACGTACCCAGGTTTTCCCGCCGGCCTGTGTTCCCTCTCGATGCCCCCAGCTTCTTTATGTCACAGCGTCCCCCTCTCTCACTGTGTGCTGGGTTCTCCAGTATCCTCTCAATGGAAAAAGTAGTTAGGCACCATCATTGTGTTTGTGGGAACAGCAGGTAGAACCTATGGAAGTCGCTGAGCTCTTTTCAGGAGCCATTACTGGGTCAGCTGCACAGACCTGCAGGGGGCCCTAAGGCCACGGCCAGCACAGGTGGCCATGTACGCGCGGCGGGGCTGGACTTGTCAGGGTCGGTGCACCTGCTTTTCTGGCTGAGCAGGGACAGCCTCAGGCCATCACCTCCTGGTTCCCTGAGCGTGTGTCAGAGCGACAGTGACAGGAAGGCCCCCGACACAGCCGTTCTGCTTTCCCTGGGGTACCTGGACGGACTGTCACCAACGGCATGGCCGTGAGGCTCACCTGCTCCTGATTGGTTGCCCTGGGGACCCTCGTCAGTCCTGCAGTGCCATGTCTTACCATTATCACAGGCGCCCCCGTAAGGTCACTTCGACATTACTGGGGCTTCCTAAGCTGACCTCTCCAGCCCATGATTCACACGGTGACGATGGCGCTCGCTCGCAATGACAGCAGCAGGGAGTGAGGCCACACCGAGTCACGCGCTGTGTGAGAGCCTGACTCAGGGCACTTTAGTCCTCACGACGTATTCTGGCACCCTGGCACTGTGGGCTGTGCCCTTACTGATGACACTGGCACTGTGAGTGCTATTTATACACTGAGTCTAAGTCTACAACAGGGAGCATGAATATAAACAAATGTACACATAGAGCACTGTTTATTGCACTGCTTCCGAGGCACTGTGCTATGCTTTAGCGCCATGGTCACCCGTAGTCCCGTTTGCCTCCTGTTAACCTGAAAAGGAGAGCAGGGACCTTAACCAAGTTACCTGGGACTTTACCCCTGCAGACTGCCCCTGGGGTCTGATTCTGAGCCCAACTTTCACCATTCATCACACAGGCTTGTGAGATAACAGAAAATATTTGTACATTGGTCTCTGCCCTGATCCTGGGACAGGACTCCCTCCTCCCCCTCCCACCCTACAGTTTCCTAGGAGGTAAGACACTAGCAGCACGTTTGTTCTAATGTTCTTGGCTCCTAAACCTCAGGAGTTGCCGGGTGAGAGGACCATCTTTTGCTCTTTGAGGTGACTCTGGGGGTGGGGCTTTCTGGATGGGGGCTGGTGACCAGAAAGATCAGGCCATGATCAGAAGCTTGGAATTTTCAGCTGCACCCCAGCTGTCCAGAAAGGGGCTGGAGGAGGTGGACTTAGTGACTCATCTTTGCATGAAGCTTCCATAAAAATGCCAATGGGATGGCGTCTTCCCGGTGGGGAGGGAACACGCAGAGCTGTGGGGAGAGGACAGGAAGCTCTGGGCCCCTCCCACACACCTTGTCCTAGGCTCTCCTCCGTCTCGATGCTCACGGTATAATAAACGTGTAAATAGTTGAGTTTTCCTGAGTTCTCTGAGCCACTCAAGCTAATCAATCAGCCTGAGGAGGGGTTGCGGGAGCCTCGGATTCATAGCCAGTCAGCAGCCCAGGTGACAGCCTGGAATTGCGATGGGCATCTGAAGTGGGGTGGGGGGCGGTTGTGTGGGCCTGAGCCCTTCACCTGGGGGATCGGATGCTCTCCCTGGGTAGATAGTGTAGAACTGAGTTGGTGTCAGGGTGCCCAACTGGTGTCACTGAATTGCTTGCCCCCCACATCTGGTGTCAGAAATGTTGTGTGTCGTCCTGTGAAGGGAAGGAGAAATGCACGAGGTGTCTTTTTTCAACTCCAGCCTGTGTACAAAGATGTGTTCCTGTGTCTCTCACAGCAGCACCCACAGCTGGGCACCCCTGTTGGGAGTGCTTCCCTGAGACACTGGCTGGGACTCTTAACAGTAGAGGGCCACCGCCACCCTGTGTGCTGCTGGGAAGACTAGCTGATGACCTCCTGGAACATCGGACAGAATTCGCTGTGCATATTTACACTCACATATGTCCATGTTCCTATAAAAGGCTATTGGGCTATACTGTGCATTTCATTTCTCTCTCAGCTTTTAACTTCCCACATCACAGCTGCAAGGATTGCCCTACAAACAGAGCAGGGTGCCCAGGTGTTGTTTAGGGCAGGTGAGCTGCAGGTATTCCCACCATTGCCCCAGGTCTCTATGAAAGCTTTCTCCCTGACCATGACGTACCCTGTACATCTATATGCTGATCTGTTAGGGACTCACTGTTAACATGGCCTGCACCGTAAACATTCCTCCTTCTCCATCTGTCTCACTGGTTTCCACAGACACCGAGCGCCTCTACTCCGTGGTGTTTCAGGAAATATGTGACCGCTACGGCAAGAAGTACAGCTGGGACGTGAAGTCCCTCGTGATGGGCAAGAAGGCCCTGGAGGCAGCCCAGATCATCATAGACGTCCTGCAGCTGCCCATGTGCAAGGAGGAGCTGCTGGAGGAAAGCCAGGCGAAGCTGAAGGAGGTGTTCCCCAGGGCGGGTCTGATGCCAGGTGCGTGCCCTCGCTGTGCCACGGTTCCCTGTGTGCCTGTTACACACTTGTCTGAAAATGCTTTCTTCTCTCAGACTGTAGGCTCTCCAGACGCAATTGGTTATATGCTGTGATTCGATCTTGCTGTTTGAGGGGCTTCTTAAAATAATACGCGTTGCTTTCACCGAGTCAATGAGGCCAAAAACGTTTGAATTTTGTTTGTGTCAGTGTTATATAAAGAACAGACTGACAAATCTCACAGGAAAGTGGGGCGAGAGATTAACCAAAGAACTTATATGCAAATATGCACAACCCATAGACACAGACAATAGTGAGGGGAAGGCCAGGGTAGGAGCAGGAACTGGGTGGAGGGTCAGTGGGGGCAAAACAGAGACATACTCTCAACAGTAGAAATACATTTAAAAAAATTGTATATAGCCCGGCCGGGCGTGGCTCAGCGGTTGAGCGTTGACCTAGGATCCAGGCGATCGGGGTTCGATTCCCGGTCAGGGCATATGCCTGGGTTGTGGGCTCAATCAATGACTCTCTCATCATTGATGTTTCTGTCTCTCTCTCTCCCTCTCCTTTCCTCTCTCTGAAATCAATAAAGATATATTAAAAAAAAATTTATATAAAGATAACATTCATGACAGAATTGCTCCCAATGTTACTTTAACATGTGACGTTGCCTTTTTCTTGACAAAATCAAGTCCAGGATGAATGTTTCAGCAATGATTCAAACTTGAGCAAATTGATGATAAACAGGCAGCTAAATCTCCCTGGAGAAGCTTAATTTTATTTTTTCCAGTTAAAGGCATCATTCATTTTTAATGTGCCTGTTTGCATGCCCCCATCCCTCTCTTTTCTTGTTTTCCATGAAAAGGAAAGTTGACTTTTCTCCCTTGAGGCTTGTTAGCTGAAAGTCTATCAGAATTGCCCAATATTTCTTGCTGAAAGTGAGAAACTCAAGAATGTTCTAGGTCACAGGGCCAGAAAATGCTTAAAAATGGAATACTAGTTAGGATTCTTCCAGGAAGAAAGGTGAGAGACAGTGGGGGTTGGGGGTGGGAGAGAAACATTGATGTGAGAGAGAGAGAGAAACATTGATGTGAGAGAGAGAGAGCACATCGATTGGTTGCCTCTCACACATGTCCCAACCGGGGCCTGGGATTAAGCCTGCAACCGGGTATAAGCCCTTGGCTGGAATCGAACCCCCAGACCCTTCAGTCCGCAGGCCAGTGCTCTAACCACTGAGCAGAACAGGCCAGGGCGAGTCACAGCCACTTCTGAATGACCTGTTGTATATATAACATCCAGTATTCGACTCCTCTAGCTGCCTCATAGGAGTGGGATCGCGCAGTATTTGTCCTTTGGTGTCTGGCTCGTTTCACTTAGCAACGTGCCCTCAAGCTTCATCCATGGCGTGGCACGTGTCAGAATGCTCTCCCTTTGTAAGCTGAATAATCCGTTGTAGGGATAGACCCATTCTGTGTGTTCATTCATCTGTGGATAGGCACCTGAGCTGTTTCCACGGCCCGGCTGTTGTGATTAATGCTGCTGTGAAGCCGGCGGTGTAGATACCTCTGAGACTCTGCCTTCAGTTCTCTTGGGCACATGCCCAGGCGTGGGGTTGTTGGGTTGCATGGCAGTTCTGCTTCTACTATTTTGAAGAACCATCACACTGTCTCCTACGGTGCCTGCACGATTTTCTTTTCCCTGCAACAGTGCACGAGGGCTCTAATTTCTCCACATGTCCAGTAACACGCGTTATTGTCTGTTTTTGTCTTTTTGGTGGTACCTATCCATCCTAGTGAGTGCAAAGTGTTTTCTCACTGTGATATTCGTTTGCATTTTTTTAGTTATTAATGGTGTGGAGCATTGTTCCATAGGCTGTTGGCCGTCCGTATATCTTCTTTGGAGAAATGTCTTTTCAAGTCCTTCGCCCGTTGTTTTAAAAATAGGGTTGTTTGTTTTTTTCTTGTCAAATTCTAGGAATCTCTATATATTCTGGATATAAAGCCCTCATCAGATATGATTTGAAAATATTTTCTCCAGTTTCATAGGCTGCCTGTTGGCTCTGTTGATTGTGTCCTTTGATGCACAAATCTTTAAATTTGGTGCAGTTTCATTTTGCTATTTTTGCTCTTGCCTGTGATTTGAGTGTCATATGTAAGACATCATTACAAAATCCAGTGTCATCAAGCTTTCTCCCTCTGTTTTCTTTCAGGAATTTTATAGTTTTAGATTTTATGGTAAGTCTTTAATCCACTTTAAGTTACTTTTGGTATATGGTGTGAGGTACGGGTCTGATGTCATTCTTTGGCCTGTGGATATCTGGTTATCCCAACACAGTTTGTTGAAGGGATANTTTGGTATATGGTGTGAGGTACGGGTCTGATGTCATTCTTTGGCCTGTGGCTATCTGGTTGTCCCAACACAGTTTGTTGAAGGGATGGTCCTTTTGCCCTTGGATGCTCTTGGCTCCTTTGTTGAAGACCATATATGTGAGGGTTTATTTCTGTGTTCTCTATCCCATTAGTCTGTATGTCTTTATGCCAGTACCACACTGTTTTATTTCCTGTAGCTTTGAATATGTTTTGAAATCAGAAGGTGTGAGACCTCCAACTTTGTTCTTTATTTTCACTGTTGTTACAGGTATTCAGGGTTCCTTGACGGCCTGTGCAAATTTTCTGGTGGATTTCTGTATTTCTGCAGGAAAAATGCCATTGGGATTTTGATAGGAATTATTTTGAATCTGGGTAGTATCGACATACTAACAATATCAAACCTTGCAGTCCATGAACATAGGATGTTTTCCCATTTATTTGTATGTTCTTTGATTTTAGCAACGTTTTCTAGTTTAAGTGTCCATGTCTTTCACCTTCTTGGTTAAGTTTATTCATTTTTGGTGCTATTGTAAATGTAATTAGTTTATGTTTTTTTCAGATTGTTCATTGTTAGGGTGTGGGAAATAAACTGATTTTTCCAGGCTGCGTTTTAGTTTTGAATTCTGCAGTATTGCTGAGTTTGCTTCTTCATTCCAACACTTTTCTGTGTGTGGATGCGTGAGGATTTTGTGCATGTAAGAGCATGTCACTTGTAAGCATGTATAACCTCACTTCTTCCTTTCCAGTGTGGATGTCTTTTATTTACTTATTTCCTTGCCTCTTTGCTCTCGGTAGGACTTTCAGTGCTATGTTGGCTAAAAGTGACGAGAGAGACTGGTTATCTTGTTTCTGATCTCGAGGAAAAGGTTCTGGCTTTTTAAAATTGGGGATGACATTAGCTGAGGGCTTGTCATATGTGGCCTTTGTTATGTTGAGGTAGTTTTCTTCTGTTCCTAGTTTGAGCATCTGTATCATGAAGGATGTTGAGTTTTGTCAAGTACTTTCTCAGCATCAGTTGGAGATGATCATATAGCTTTTTCCTGCATTTTGTTAATATGGTACATCACATTGATTTTTTTATGTTGAACCATCCTTGCATTCCAGGAATAAACCTGGCTTGATCATGGTGCATGATTCTTTTAATGTGCTGTTGAAATAATTTTGTTGGTATTTTGTTGCATATATTTGCATCAGTATTTATCAGAGATATTGATCTGTAGTTTTCTTTTCTTGTAGTGCCCACGTCTGGCTTTGGTGTCAGGGTGCCACTGGCCTCATAGGTTGACTGTGGGAGTACACCCCTCTCTTCAGTATTCTGGAAGAGTTTGAGGGGTATTGGTGCAAGCTCTTCTTTAAATATTTGGTAGAGTTCTCCACTGAAGCCGTCTGGTCCTGGATTTTCCCTTCCTGATGACTGACCCAACCTCTTTACTAGTTATAGTTCTGACCAGGCTTTCTATGCATTCTTTTTTAAAAAATTTATTGTATTGTTGAGAGTATTACAGATGTCCCTCATTTTCTATGCATTCTTCATGTGATCTTGAGGCGTTGTATGCTTCTAGCAATTGACCCGTTTCTTCGGTGTGATCCAATTTGTTGGCATAATCCTTTTTCATATCTGCCTTCAGTCCTTTTTTCCTTCTGTGACATTTTACTGTCTCCCCTTCATTTCTGATTTTTGTTGTTTGAGTGGTCTCTCTTTTTTATCACGGTCCATCTGAGAATTTGTCCCTACAGTTACTGTGTGACCTGGAGTCTCATGGCTTAACACACACACGCCCATGATATGTCCCCGTGCAAATTCCTTTTCTATCTAATCCTCTCGAGCCTTTCAAAGGGTCTCTAGAATTTTTGTCCCGTCGTCTAAGATTCAGGTTGAGGTATGTTCCACCACAGTTCCAAGAAATAGGATGTCCATCCGGCCAGCGTGGTGGTTTGGGTGGGATGCTAACAAGTCTATAGTAGGACATTTACCTGGTGCTCCAATCAATGTAGTGTCCTCACTGGGTATCAGTTAGAAAGGTGCCCATCATGGATGATCCTAGATGACAGTTAAACCCAGATACCTGCACCTTAGAAGTGAGCCAGGAGTTAGTGCTTCACAGAGTTAGTCCTGCAGAATTCACCTGGATGACCTGTCTCCCTGGACCACCTCTTACACACCAGAGGGTTGAAGGAGCCATTCAAATCTTCTTATTCGATGCACCTTTTTAGCATAAGAATTTTGTGTGTACTTATCTAAACTGTTACTAGTCTTATGGAGGAGAGGAAGCACCTTTTAGTAACTAGTTCCAAAGTCAGTCTTTGAAAACGTGAGGTCATTTCCTTACACCACACTCATAACAGAAGGCAAACGAAACATGAGGAAAAAACTCAGATAACACCAGAAAAACTTACCACTGTCACTTTTCTAGATCCAGGGGTTCATTCTGTCCACTCAGCTTCATTCCCAGTGTTCAACTGTGGATAACATCATCCCTCACTTGTGTTTCTTTTCTTTCTGGAGGCACCTTCTGTAGTGTGCTTCAGGCTGCGGAAGTCACCTTGAGCTCATTAGCAAAGAAGGCTGTCAGTTAATTAATTCAACATTTTTCTGTGCTTTGAAGGTGAGAGCTGTGGCCCATGCAGGTGTTTAGCAAGTTAAATTGCAGGAATGGATGGCCTATTGCCAGAGGAAATCGTGCCTGATTATATGCAGGGGTGTGTCCCTTCTGGGCCAGTCACCAGGGGTGTGTCTCCAATCACCAGGGAAATAGCCCCTGATTATATGCAGGGGCATGTCCTTCCTGGGCCAATCATCAGGGAAACAGCCCCTATTATATGCAGGGGCATGTCCTTCCTGGGCCAATCACCAGGGAAACAGCCCCTATTATATGCAGGGGCGTGCCCCTCCTGGGCCAATCAGCAGGGAAACAGCCCCTATTATATGCAGGGGCGTGCCCCTCCTGGGCCAATCAGCAGCCCCTGACTATGATGTCAGCATGCGCTTGTACTGTCTCATCAGCGCCTGAGAGTGTAGGGCTGACCCAGGGGACGTGAGCAGCCCTAACACCACTAGCAGGACTGCTCACAGCCTGGAAGCCCTTCTCCACGCTTGTCCAGGTGGGAAGTACTTTTAACCCCTATGGTCTGTAGCTCTTCACCAGGTGACTTAGTGGTGAAATGTAAATGGATGGTCATCCACGGGTTTCATCATTTCCTGAAAATAGACATCTTTTAAATTGTGACAGAAAGCACCCTGGGCAGAAAATGGGATATTTATTCTGTTTATAAACAACCAGAGGGATATTCGACCTGCAATGAGGAAGGGCATGGAAGGGGCAGAGCCCGTCAGACATGAAGGGAACATCTCCCCAATGAGCTTCCTTCACCTCACCCCCTTTTACACACAACCCATGAGGTACTGGGGCCGTCTTCTCCGGGGACATAGTCACTCATGACAAAGGCTCAGATGCCAGTGTTTCCAGGTCTGCCCACAGACGGGCTAGTTTAGGTAACAGCTTCCACTGGTCACAGCTCCCACCTGTGCCCTGAGCCCACACGAGGGGGGATCCTTCCTGCCTTTCCCAGCTTCTGGGGGCCCCAGTGTCCCGTGGCTCATGGCTGCATCTCTCCGACCTCCGCGCCTGTCTTCAAGTGGCCGTCTTTCCCATGTTACCTTGTCCTCTCCTTATATGGACAGTAGTCACTGGACTTGGGGCCCACCCTATAAATCCAAGACGGCCTGGGTGTCAGCATGGCCACGCTCAGGTGAGGGCTCTCTTCTCTGCATCAGACAGCCTCTATCTCACTGTGTCCTCACAGGGTGGACAGAGCTCTGGGGGCTCCTCCTCTTCTCGTAAGGGCACCAATCTCATCACAGGGCCCCACCCTCATGACCCCATCTAACTCTAATCCCTCCCAAAATGTCTAATGTCCCTTTGTGACCTCATCTTTAACCCATGCCTTACATACAAGTGTGTGTTTAACATCCAGATATTTGTGAATTTCCAGATACCTTTCACTTACTGGTGTCTGTTTTAATTCCATGTGATCAGGGACATACTTTGTGTGTTTTCAATTATTTTAAAACATTTTAGAATTGTTTCCTACCTTGTGGACACAATGTTGTATCCACGTGTCTGTTACTAACATGGCCACCCTGACTCTCCTTTGAGTAGTAGGTATATAAGGCTCTCAATCCCTTTATTTTTAACCCGCGTGTTTATATTTCACATAGGTTTCTCGCAGACGCTATGTAGCTGGGTCTCACCTTTATTTGTTTATTTTTCCATTGCGACAGTGTCTAACTCGGGCATATTTGTAACATTTATGAGGCTGTCCTGTAAGGTCCCTCTCTGCTAATTCTGTCAGTCTTGCACTTCTGTGTGCGACTCTGCGGACCACCTGTTTCTCCTGGTGTCTGCTTGTGTTGTTGGCTTCCTTGCAGGCATAGAGGTCCCTGGTTGGATACTGGACACTGAGTTTTACATCAGCAGAGGCCCCCTGTCCCTTTATCTTTAAGGAGTTTCCCGGTGCCCTCGCGAGGAGCTGAGGCCCACCCTTCCCATGAGCATCTCACAGGACGGCTTCTCTACGGGCCCGGCACTCACAGCATCACTGCCTGATGGCAGGTGTTGCCTGTTGGAAAACACGACTGTGTCTGTCTTTGCTGAGGCAACTGAGAAAGCAGGGACCTCGTGTGCTGCAGTGACTAAAACAGCAGTGATTATGTGATTAACATACTGTTTTAGTTGAACCCTGCGCTCTGTGTGGACTGGACATCCCTGTCATCATAATCAGCTGTGATGAGAGCTGGACAGCCCTGTCCCTTTCATCACGTTTCCAATAGGCTGTCCTCTCATAACTGCACCAGGAGTAATGGCATTAACCTTCGTGGCCCCGACTCGGCCTCATAGCTAACAAGGGCGTGGACGCTCCTTCCACCTGGTGACCTGTGATGTTGGCTGAGGGAGGCAGCTTTATTACACTCTCTGCCCCTTGCTCTGGTGCTGCCTCTGTCCCCCGACTGTGAGGCCGCCTCCCGATTTCCTCTCCCAGCAGTGGGAAGGGTCATCCGGTCATCCTCGGGCTTTTGTAGAACATAGAGTTCCCCGGAAAACACCAGGACCTAGTCCTTGCGTATTCATGGCTCCAGAAACAAAGCTGGTCTCCAAGGCCTCTGCAGGTCTCCACCTCCCCAGCCCAGGGTCCACGCTTCCGCAGGACAGGCCCAGCAAACCCAGTGTCCTTTCCTTCCAGGGACATTGCCTGAGGTCCTTGGGGAACAGCTAAGGCCCAGGTTGCTGAGTTGTGTTTTGTTTTGAATGGGGCCATTTGGGAGCTGATGGTCCCCCTGAGATGGTATGTGTCAGGTCAGATCAGATCCTTCCTGGGCAGAGGCATCCACGTGTTGGGGTTTCCGAGCCCGCTGAGGGGCCGTTCTCCCGATTCTCTGGCCTGTCCCCCTCCTCATTAAAGCCTGTCCCCCTCCTCACTGAGGCCTTTCCTCACCTCCCCAGGGGTGGAGAGGTTGATCCACCACCTGCGAGAGCACCGTGTGCCCATGGCCGTGGCCACCAGCTCGGGCTCCGCGTCCTTCCAGATGAAGACCAGCGCGCACAGAGAATTCTTCGGCCTATTCGACCACATCGTCCTGGGGGACGACCCCGAGGTGCGCAGGGGCAAGCCTGACCCAGACATTTTCCTCGCCTGTGCCAAGAGGTTCTCCCCACCTGCTCCTGTGGAAAAGGTATGCACAGCAGGAGTTGGGTGGTGAGTCAGGGAAGAAGGGCGACGTTGCGGGGGTGGGGGTGGGGGTATTGTCAGGGGACACTCTCGAGGTGGGGGTTGTCTGTGTTGGGTCCTGTGTTTGAGGTGTTGTGGGGGCATTAGTCAGGGAGTAGCGATTTCCTGAAAGGTTTCTCACACCTGCTACCCAGGGACCCCGAGTCTGGACAACTGTGTTTCTTACACAAGTCACAGGCTCAGGGGAGGTGACTCAAAACCTTCCACAGGCAGTGAGCGTCCGGGGCACTTGGAATGACCTGTTCTTTTGGTCGAGGGCCCAGCTTACTGCATGGGACCTATAAACGCAGGTGTAACTGTGTGACTGGAGGGCCGTTCTTGGATTCTGACCCCAGCTGGGCGTCCTACCAGTGGGAATGCTGCAGTGTTTGTCCCCACTCCACTGGGACACGGTGCCTCACAGCTGACCCTAAATACTGACGTTCCATGGACAGCATCTTCTGCATAATTTACCTGTCATCCTGCTGTGTACAAATAAGCAAACACCACACCACCTCTGAATGTGCCTTCGCCATCGGCCCGAGAATGGGAGATGGGACAGTGTTAACACTATTCAGGGAGGTGTTATCCAGGTGCCGACCTGTGTTGACTTCCCTTCAGTGATAAGACGGCTTTCCCTTGTAGAGAAACCTCAGGCAAGGGACCTACAGCCATTGAATTTTGGGGAGGCTTTGCTGTTGGGAAGATATGGTGAGTTGAGAAAATGCCTCTTCCTACAGCTGTTGATGCTCAAAATGTCTTCAGTTCAGAGCAGTCCTTAAGGCCTGTGGCATGCTCTGGACCCCTCCAGCACCAAGAGACCCGGGCTTCCTTTCCTAGCCTCCAGGGCTCCTTTTCTGCCCCCCAGTGCTCACCATCCAGCTGCACACCAAGGCCTGTGCCCACAGAGCTCTCCCGGCCTCCTCCTTTCTGCGGAACCACCTCTGTTCTCAAGTCCTGCCTTCACCCAGCTGGTTCACCTCCCACGTGGCCTCAGGGCATCTCGCTTCCCAGGATCCCTGGTCCGGTTCCCACTTTCACCAGCTGCTCCCATGGCTGCCCCAGGGCCCTCGCGTCCCGTGGGAGCATCCAGTACTGTGATCCAGGTTTTCACCTTCTCACTCTTGGCTCCTGTGCCCTCCAGCCCTTGAGGCCTCTTATCCCAGGGCTGCCTCTCTCTTCCCAGTTCCTCCCAGTCCCTGCCCCCCTGCCTGGCTGCCCTGCTCTGTTCCTAGTCCAGATGCCCCCCAGTGATGGTGACGGCCTCAGTGCTGAGAACCTCCGGGCTCCTTACCTTCCAGACCTTGTGCAGTGTGGCCCCCTGCTGGTTGCCCCGTGGACATGACCCACCACGCATGCCCCTGATTATGGGAGGGGTTGTGCAGCCTTCATAGATTTTGCCCCAGTCATAGACAAATGGACTGTGCAGCCACTGTTAGGCCTAGAACACATATCAAAGGCACATATCTCACTCTTGGCTCACGGGCCCCTGGAATGCTCCATCTCCCAGTCATGGGAAATGTCATTCTTTCTAAATTAAACCCCTCCAGCTATAGTTTAATTAAGCTCATCTGTCCTGCTGGAGACGGAATCCAGATATACTTTAACCGGCCTGGCAGAGTGAAAAGAACATTGAATTCTGGTACCCGAGCTCTGTTCCTGAGTTTCCTGTCCTGCCTGCCTGGGTGACCTTGAGTTCACCTCTGAACTCTTGGCCCATGTCCTGTGCCCGTGACAGGAGAGGGCTGGGCCCACCGCTGTCCTGGCTCGGACACTCTGTGGCCCCCGTGTTGGTTGGGAGTGTGTCCTGTGCCAGGCTGTAGAGGTCAGTGTGGGGAGGGCCCGGCTGGTCCTCCAGGGAACAGGAAACTATTTTGAGAGAAAGAGGCAAAGTTGAACCGGTGAGACTCTTCACTAGCTTGGTGTGCCAGGTGGAAACTGTCCGAGGTTTCAGTTTGAGTGAGGAAACACTCCCTGCTTTTCTCTGTGTGAGACACAGGCTGTACTATTTTAGCTCCTATCTTTTAATGGTTTCATCGCCTGTGAGGAATAGGGGAAGCCTTCCCGGTGACTCTGGAAGATTCATTCTTTGGTTTCAGTACATAGACAGGCCTTCTGGGAATATTCATACAGTATTGAGGCTTTAGGGGTCCTTAGAGGTGCATTAGGTCAGGGGAATCAAGGCAGAGGAAACTGGAGAGTTTTACAGGTGCTTCACAATGTAGACATAGCTTTGCAATTCTGCTCCTGAGGAGGGGAGGACCTCCCAGGGCAGGTGCTGTGCATCACTGAGCATCGAGTCCCGTGGGGAGCCTGGGGTGTGCGGCCACGGAGACCCAGCATGGGGTTCCCCTCCCCCGTGTGCTGCCTGGTGTTGGTTTCTGCCTTGTGTGTGCTGCTCTGTGTCATGTCTGTGATAGCAGCTGCTGGTGGGAGGTCCCACACGTCCCATTTCCTGCAAACCTCCCCTCCTGCACCCCCCACGTTCCAGCCACCGCCTCCTGTGCAGTGGGCTCTCAGCTTTCAACAACGGCAGGTGCTGCTTCAGGGTGTCCACATTTCTGAGGTTGAACGCTCATTTGCTGATGTGACGGGCAGCCGTCCAGCTGAGATCCTGTAGACATCTTTGACAACCTCGCAGGGAAGTGGGTCTGTGGGAGGAAGGAGAAGGGGTGTCAGGTGCCGCTGGTGGAGTGTACCCACCCAGGGCTCTGTTGCTCTTTCTGGGGCTGAACTCCCGTCACTCCTGATCTGTCAGTTGCATGCCCATGGCAAGGGGCTTTTGTGCAGGCATCCAAACAAACGGGCTCGTCCGTCCGCCCAGCATTTCCTTGGATCATTTTGAGAGTTCTGGCCAGACACATGGCCAAGCACACCTCTCAGATGGCCTCTCCTTGTGTGAGCTGGGCAGGTCCCCTCTTCCTGCTCAGTAGCTGCTGCCCTGCTGCTCCTGTGCCCTGTGCTGTCAGCCTCCCTCCCTCCCTGAGTGGCCACATCCTTCCTGGTTCAGAGCACAGCCTGTGGCTGAGTACTAATTCTAAACTGGGGGGACGTGATGAATGGACCTCACAGAAGCCGGGAACCTGCGCCTCCTTGAGAAATGTGAGTTTTAGGAAGAGTACATGCCAGTCGTGCCCGTCCTGGAGCTGTGAACACCACCAAGCTTTCCTCGCCGTCCGGACAGCCCTCCTGTCCTGTCCTGGAACCATCTGCAGGTGCACAGAGCCACCGGGCTGCACGTGCTCTCAGAGGAGAGTGGATGTGGCAAGCCCTTTGTAAGGGCCACAGTTTCCCAGCTGCCTGCCTTCCCTCTCACCTGCCTGCCATGCTCTCCAGAAGGAACCACTCACAAACGCAGAGCTAAAGTGGCTCCCAGGCCTGCAGCCAGGCACAGTTCCCCACAAGGGATCCACAAAATCTCTCACTCGGCCCCAGCCCAGTTTTTACAGGGGGGCTGCACAGACCTTCAGCATCCTCAGAGAACATAAGGAATATCTCCTCCCCCCCGCCCCAGAAAAGGTCACTGGACATGTAAGTGCACGCCCACGGTCCCAGATACAGCAGTTGGGACATTTACAATAAGGTCAGGTCATAGCTTTAAAAGACGGGGGCAGCGATATCACCCACAGAGTCTCTGAATGAGACCACTAAGAACACAAACCCGGATGGTCTGAGCAGACTCACTTCCATCTCAGACAGAAACCATGGTCTCCCTGGAGATGCAGAGAGAGGGCTTGATCAGAGCCGGGGTTCAGGAGTTCTCGGGAAGTTGGCCGTGGGACTGTCTGCCTGCCCAAGACTCCCCTGTTTCAGCTCTGACAGCCCCGTCTTGGGCAACCAGCTCACTCTGTGAAGGTCGCCCAGTAGTCTCATGCTAGCAGGACCTGCAGTAACTCATTTAGTTCTCAACTCCGCCCTGTGGGGTGAGCCAGCTAGCGACTCGACTCATTGTAGTCCTGATGGAAATGGGGGGAGAGAAGGGGGTAGGAAGGAAGGAAGGAAAAGTCAGTGTACCTGCTGTAGAACAGACCACCAGCAAAAACTGTGTGCCTGGGTGTGTGCGTGTGAGAGAGAGACTGTGTGTCTGTGTGTGTTGAGCTTCTAGTGTTCAACGGCCCCCACAGCTGGTGTCCCTGAGCCTTTCCCGGTCACCAGCATGTTGGACGCCAGCCACTACACTGGTCATAAGGCGGGGAGACACTTATGATAAAAGGCTGGAAAAAGAGCTGAGGGGACAGTGGAAGGTTCCCCCTCCCCCCGCATCCTGGGAGTTCAGGGTCACGTAAGGAGAGCAGTGGGACATGGGAGCACATCAGAGTGGCCACAGGAGGGCCCTGCTCACAGGTGTCTGGCCCTCACAGAGAATTAATCGAGAGACTGAGTGAAGCTGCTCTCACATGCAGTGTGCGGGGTTGCAGGGCCTCAGGGGATTCTTGGTGCCTGTTTTCCTGGGATGGGGGTGCCACAGCCATGGCACTTGGACCCAGAATTGAGTGGAGCTCGGGTCTCTGCCTTGGAGCCTGTCTTGGTGGGAGACCTGCCTTGGCACGTTCCCGTGGTTGCACACTCGGGAGCTCCCCAAGAGCACCGTGCACAGATGCCCCATTTTACACGTGCCTGTGCGTGAGCATCAGTGACCCTAGGAAAAAAGCCAGTTGACTTCACAGAGGAGAAAGATGCCCACAGGCACTACCTTCTGGTGCTAATGACAAGGACTTGTGTCCCCTGACGCTGGCACACGCAGGGACTGAACTTTTCATTCATATACCCTAACCGTTTAATTCCTGAGCTCAAACACTACCAGCTCCGAAGTTACTTAAAAGCATGCTTCCCCCGCCCCCCAATTTCCTCTCATGCTCAGTTACTGAATGAACAGAGTTTTGTGATTCGAATAAAAAAGTTTTAAACCTAGGAGCCCGCCTGGCCACCCAGCTGCACCTAGTTTGGATTTTGCCTTGGGGGCAGCTGTGGAAGCCGCCCCCTAATGTAACGGGTGTGTGGGACACAGTGTGCTCTCCTGACCACAGTCCCTAACCTGGAAGGACAGTCTCTTCATGTCCGTCTCCATCTGCACGAACCCAGCCGGCGGAGATGAGGTGATAACCCTGGTCTAGTGTCTGCTGTGGACAAGGCCGTCTCAACCTTCTGTCTCTCCCTCACCCCACAGTGCCTCGTCTTTGAAGATGCTCCCAATGGGGTGGAGGCGGCCCTTGCTGCTGGGATGCAGGTGGTGATGGTCCCCGACGCAAACCTGAGCCGAGACCTGACGACGAAGGCCACTGTGGTACTGGCTTCCCTGCAGGACTTCCAGCCCGAGCTCTTTGGACTGCCACCCTATGCATGAGAGGCCTGCCATGCCGCCCTACCTGCCGCGCTCCTCCGAGCCTGGCCCCACCTACAGTGCCCAGCAAAGAGCAGGGGAATCCCTCCCACATCGCCCTGTGGACAGTCCTAGCCTCAGGACTCCTGCAGTTTCTGTAAATGTTAGCAAACCCCAACCTGACCCAGGAGAAAAACCACACAGAGACAGCCCAGAACATAGGTCCACTCTGTCACCTGAGTCACCTTGGAAGGATTGTATGTGAGCAGTAACATACTAGCTGTATACAGGAAATATGTGTACATACATGCATGTACACGCTTGCATGTGTGTATGTACCTGTATATACATACGCATTCCTATGTATGTGCAACATTCCCAAGACAGATGAAGTTATATTTTTCTACACCTTGACCAGCACATGTAACATATGTACATGGATATGGATACACTCTAATGTGTATATATTGTATGTGTGTACATACTCTGTATTTATATCCATTTGCAAGGCTCCACGCATCCATGTTGATCTTAACCTGCTGTGGCCACTGAGAGCAGAGAGGTGGCCTTTTTTCTGAGATGTAACCTGAGTGGGGAACCTTCTATGGATGAGCCTCAGGAAACCACTGTCCCCATGAGCACACTAACACTCTGTGTCCTCAAAGAACCTCTGCGGCCCTCTGCTGGGAGACTGGCTAAGAATCATATTGTCTGTAGAACATAGCTCTGGCCTGCATCTCATACCCGAGCTCGTCTCCGCATTGCCGAAAGCTCTCTACCTCAGACAAGTCACCTCTTTCCCTTAAGAACACTTATTTTTCTGACGCGTCCTTGGATGTAAAGATAATCTGACTTCAGGAGATGTACTTGGTATCACTTAGAGCCACAGCACACCTTTGGGATAATTCATCAGACATTACACTTTGGCCATGAACCCCTTTTTAATATGTGCTCAGCCTTTTGTGATTTGAAAGGCATTCAGATGGGAAAATGCAATCATGGGGCGTCCCTACTTCCTGCACCTTCCATGTGGGCTCTTTGTCATCAAACTCATTTTCTCCTCTAAGTTGCAGAAAAACCATAGCAACGTCTATGATGGTCTGGCGGGGTGATTGCAGGTCAGGGTGGCCCCTGCTGTGGACCAGTTTTGCCTGGTTCAGAAATTCCTTTTAGCATTTCTGATTGCTGGAGACGCGTCTGTTCTCTGAATTCCCTTTCCATTGGCTGCTTGTAACATCTTACTGGTTCCCTCACCGGTTAATTTAATGGAATAAAAGTCTTGGCACCTGTTCAGGTTATATTGGTGTGAAATTATGATTTTTTTTTACCTTTTGCTCTANCTGGTTCCCTCACCGGTTAATTTAATGGAATAAAAGTCTTGGCACCTGTTTAGGTTATATTGGTGTGAAATTATGATTTTTTTTAACCTTTTTCTCTAAAAAAACCACTATCCTCTAAGAAATGGAAAACGTAACTGTGAGTCATTGACCATTTTTCTTAAACAGCACTCATACTGTATAGTGTCATAGTGGAGTGTAGACAGGATTGTCTGTTTTACCCTGTGGGGTCCTGGAGTGTAGACAGGATTGTGTCTTTTATCCTGTAGGGTAGTGGAGTGTAGACGACATTAAGTGGAAGAGTTAATAGTAAACCAAATCAGAGCAAAACAAAACAGGGTAGATCTTAGGGTACTTGTCTAGTTAAACTTGAATCATAAAAATATTTGCATTGGGTTCTTGGACCTTTTCCCAGGGCCAGGTTTGCGTCAGGTGTGTGACGAAGGATAGGCAGGAATGGGAGACTGGCAGCCAGTCCATGCTGTGGCCCAGTCTCATTTGGTGGCTCCTTGAATCCACTGAATTTTCCTTGCATCTTTTGACCAAGTTGTCTTTGAAGCATTACGTACGTACCCCTCTTTTGCTGCTTCTCCACCCTATGGCGGGTGCCTGTCTTGTACAAAGCCCTTTCAAGACAGCAATCCTGGCCCCTCCCTGTGGAAGCTCCGTATTAAAGTCTTGCTTTTGTCCACTGCCACAGCCACGAGTCCCAGTTTCACGTGGATTTCTATAGCACTGTGTGTGCAATGAGTATTTTTATGTTAAAGTATCTCCAATTATTTACCAAAATGCCAGCAATGTATTTCCTTAGGGGATGGAAATTATAAAGAACTATTTAAGAATCCTAATAGTATCTAATCTCTTAATAAAAAACCAGGCCTTGGGAAATGTACTCATATATATTTAATTACATAAGACCTTGTAATAGGCATGGTGAATCCATAATAATATGCAAAGCCACTGAAAGTGGTGTATTTTCAAAATCCACGTAGGGGGAGAATGGGCATGCCTTCCATATTTTAAGTCTGAATAAGTGAAAGGTAGATATTTAACTGATATGAAGAATACCTGTTTCTCTAAGTCAATGCTGTCCTGGGTGGTAAGTTGACACATTTAAAAGCCAGGAACAAGCAAAAAAGGGAATCCTGCTCTCTGTAAATTTTTATCATTGTTCCAGGAATTGCTTTCCCCTCTGCAAACGGCTGTTCTCCACACTCCCCATCCCCCTACCACCCTCACACACCCAGTGAGAATGGAAATGGGCTGCCTGACCTCCAGGGTGATGAAAGTCGCCCTTTTGCCCCTGGTTAAATGTTCCCAGTGTCCTGTTCACTCCCTCAGCTGAGCTGTCAACGCTCACCTGCCCTTCTCTGGCCACAGCTTCCTCCCAGGAATAGTTCAGAACATACCCCAGGAGTTCTGGGGAACAAAGACAAGCAGCACCCAATTCCCCTGATGGTTTTGTTTTTCATCATTGCAAAAGTGGGTGGATGGCCCGGCTGGCATGGCTCAGCAGTTGAGCATCAATCTAGGATCCAGGAGATTGCAGTTCGATTCCTGGTCAGAGCACATGTCTGGGTTGCAGGCTCGGGGTTGCAGGCTCGATCCCCAGTCAGGGATGCGCAGGAGGCAGTCGATCAATGACTCTCTCTTATCATTCATGTTTCTACCCCTCTTTCCCTTTCCCTCCCTCTCTCTGAAATCAATATATTTTAAAAAACAAACAGATGGACGTGGCCCTCACTGCCCCGAGCCCATGCAGTGTGTCATTTATAGTGTGGGACACACAGCAGGGAGTTACACACATAAAGGCACAAAAAGGCACAATTGCAAATTGTTATAAAGGCTGCAAAGGAAAAGTAAACACTAAGGCAGCAGCAGTGGGCTCAGATTTAAACGTAAGGTCTCTTTCTAGTTTAAGCCTATGATTTTTCCCCCCGCAAGTCTCATTTTTACATCATTATAAACCCTTTGTAACAGAAGTTAGTAAACAATAGCTATTAATTTCCACCCCACCATAATGGGGTGGACTTTGAGAATTTTATCGGTTCATTGACAATTTTGAATGTTTTTCTACCCACCAGCAGCACTAGCGGGTAGAGTCCTCTCCTAAACCTTTACTTTGTTGCAGTAAGTCAACTGCAATAAAGTATCAAAGCGAACACTTCCTCTAATCCACACATTTCCCCTCATTGTAACTAGGTTGCAAAGGAGATTTCAGACACTTTGAAAATAAAAGGAAGCCACTACCTGGGACACCGGGGTCTCTGAGCATGATTTATATGACCAGTGTGACTTCCCCCTATGCTGCCAGCTTAAGTGTCGCCCCCAGACGCCCTCCCTGCAGGTTCGCTCATCTGGGCCAACAGCCTGCTGCACCACAGCCTGCCAGCCTCACATGGGGGACGCGCACGCTGCAGAGGAATTGGGGAGGGAAGGGGGTAGATGTGAAGGTCGCGGAGGGACGTGTGTCATATACACACCCACACATCTATGTGGAAATAACATCTAAAACCCATCTCTGTCTGTATTTCACACCCGTATCGATTCTGCATCCACATATATCGGTCTCCTTTGGTACATTTCTGTCAAAATACCTCAGAGGGAGTTGGGTGTGGCCCTCTGTGCGATCCGATTGTTTAGCATTAAAGAGAATATCACTCTGTCTGCACACCGTCTCTCTGGTAGGAAGCGTTAAAATTATGCGTCAGGCTTGTTCCTGCAGCTCTTCACCCTCCTTAATCGTATATCTGCAGAGAGCGCCCAGATCTGGCATGGAAAAGGGGCCTCGTAGCCTCGTGGACTGTTCTGTGCCCTTTACCTGTGAGCTTTGAGGGTGCGTTAGGCATCCTTGTCAAGTCCTCTCTCTCTGTTGTGTCTCTGTCTCTGTGTCGTATCAAATTCATTGATTCGAACAGGGGTGGGGAACCTGTTTTCTGCCCAGGGCCATTTGGATATTTATAACATCACCCGCGGGCCATACGAAATGATCAATGTAAAAATTAGCTATGAAAAAAACTCCTAGATGTATCGGATTTCGCGTCCCCGCCTGCAGCTGCCTTGGCAGGGCCAGACTGAAGGATTTCGCAGGCCCTATAGGGCCCGCCGGCCAGACGTGCCCCACCCCTGGACTAGAATGAAAGAGAAAAACAAAAGGAGTGGATTTAAAGGGAGGACTTGTTCCTTCCATTTCAGATGGTTGGGTAAACATATTTCTGTACCATTTCCTTTGTAACCCAACCCCAAACAGCCAAGACAATTAGAACCAAGGCCCTATAGAACCAAGGAAGGAAACATCATCTTTGGAGGAGCCAGGGAACCCCTAGGACCGGATCACAGTGTGTGCAGAAAGGGGGCCAGGCGCGGGAGGGGCGGGGGGAAGGGCCCGGGACAGCAGGAGCAGGCGTCCTCTCCGTGGGACTTGGGCAGGGACGGCAGAGCTCGGAGTGATTCCAGGTAGGCAGCAGGCATTAGAAGGAAAAGCAACGATTCCTTGCCTAGATGAGTGAGGCCAAGGTCGAGGGGTGGGCCTCGGAAGCCTCCTCACATCACACTTCAATCATGGGGTTGTGCGGAAGTGACAAGAAAACGCCAACAGTTTGCCCGGAGCCGACTGTGCGTTTGGCAAAGGGAGGGGATGTCAAAGTGTGTCACAGCCCAGCAAGGGCTCATCTTCTCCTGGGGAAGACGCCATCAGGAGAGGTGAGCTCATGGAGACTTTCTGACGTGCACACCTCCCTGTGAGCCAGAGAGGGGCCCCCGCAGACCCACAAAGGTCAAGAAATCCCTAAAGATGCAGCCTGAGCTCAGGCTCCCCCACTGTTGCTCACCCTATGTGTCCCCCCAGAAATGCAGCCTGAGCTTAGGCTCCCTCACTGTTGCTCACCCTACGTGTCCCCCCAGAAATGCAGGCTGAGCTCAGGCTCCCCCACTATTGCTTACCCTGCATGTCCCCCCAGAAGTGCAACCTGAGCTCAGGCTCCCCCACTGTCCCCCGAGAAATGCAGCCTGAGCTTAGGCTCCCTCACTGTTGCTCACCCTACGTGTCCCCCCAGAGATGCAACCTGAGCTCAGGCTCCCCCACTGTCCCCCCAGAAATGCAGCCTGCGCTCAGGCTCCCCCACTGTAGCATATTGGCTGGGGTAGCCCAATTTCAAGGAACATTTCTTTGCATGTTCTGGATAACAAACACTTGGTCTCAACGGGTGTGAATTGCCTTTTAATCGATCTTGAAGAGCGGATTTATTTTTGAAGTGAAGTTTATGATGTTCCCTTTTATGTTGAGTGCTAGGTATTTGCCTGGGAAATCTTTACCTTACCTCTGTTCCCTTCTAGAACCTTCCTAGCTTTAGGCTTCACATTTAGGTCAGATCTCAATTAATTTCAATTTAATGTCTGTGTAAACAGGGAGGTACAGAATCAAAGTTTATCTTTATCCATATGTCTGTCCAATTGTGCCAATTCTACCTGGAAAAAAAACCGCTATTTCCCCCCATTAATTTCTTTGACAGCTTTGTTGAAAATCAGTGGATTGTTTAAGGGTGAGATGTACTTCTTTTAAAAAAATAATAATGTTTGAATTGACTTTATTAGGGTGACACTGGTTAATAGAATTATATAGGTTTCAGGTGTGCAATTCTATAATAAACCGTCCGTATATTGTGTGTCCGCCACCCCAAGCCAAGTCTCCTTTAATCCATTGACCCTTCTCACCCTGAACCTCAAATCCCCTCCCCTCTGCCGGCTGCCAGCCTGTTCTCCGGGACTTTCTTTTCAAAACAATCGGCCTCAACAAAACACCAGTCTTAAGCCAAGTCCACATTCCTGGGGGTGGAGCTTGTGGTGTGAGGGTGGAGGGTGGAGCCCTCCTTCAGAACCCAGACACAGTTCATCCTGACATTGGGCAGGGAAGGTGGAACCCCC